ATATTATTTATAATAAATATAAATTAAAAATCATAATAAATTATTTTATACTTTCTTATTAATTATTTTAAACTATTACTTCTTACCAATATTTCACTTATATTCTTTCGATTTTATTTATTGTAAGTATTTAAGTTGTTTTATTTATTAATTACTATATTACAATTACTATTTGTTTTATTGTTTAATTATGAAGCGCAATAGATTAAATATATGTGAAATGTCATTCAAAACAAAACCAACTAAGCAGTCTCAAGCTTCTTTTCGATCTTCTGCAAATCTTCAAACAAAAAAAATTAAATTATTAAATACAAGCGGATTACAAGTTCAAAAAAATAATAAAGTTGTTGATGAACAAGCTAAAACTCAATATATTAATAAAGAATCTAATATTCGATATATTAGTGAAGAACCTGTTTCTCAAACTTAATATATTAGTGAAGAATCTGAACTTGAATTTCAATATAGCGAAGATCATAAACTTGAAGTATCTCATAATAAATATTTATTTAATTCAAATAATAACGATAATCTTGAAAGTACTTCAGCTATAAATAACTTTAATAAAAGAAATGACAGATTGGAGGCAAAAGAGTTCAATTAGGTAAATAAATTTTATTTATTCGTATATCTCAAAATAAGTTTACAAATTTAACTATTAAATATTATTAGAAAAAGTCAATTATTTCTGCAACGAAGAGACTATAATTGGATCTCTTGAATCTCTTCATACAATGATTAATACACTTACAGATACAGTTAATGAAATAAAAAAAGATCAAAATGAGATATATGAACTTATAAAACAACAACAAAAAACTTTTACAAATCAAACATATTTTCATAAAAAACAGTAGTTTTATGTTAGTATTAAATTTATATTATTATATATATATATTATATATTTTTATTAATTTTAATTTTTTTTATTATAGAAAACTGTACGTAAAGCAATTCAGAAAAAAATGGAAACAATTAAGTATCCATCAAATGAACATCTTGAAATTGTATCAAAAACGGCTCTTAAAGATTACAATAAGGGTCAGTTAGAAGCTATTCTTATAAATCTTTCATGGAAAGTATATAGAATAATAGTATTGTGCCTGCTATAAGTTTTTTAATAATAATAAAATCATCTATTTTTATTTAACTTTAATTAGACTATTTTTTTTTTTAATAGGCAAAAGAAATTGCCCGGGAGTATCGAAGCGAAATAAAAATTAAAGTAAAGAAAGCATTGACAGAAGTATTTGGTAGAAAAAGATTTCCACCAATTGAAGAAGCACACCCATCAGTTGATCAAATAAATGTATGGAAACTCAAAGATACGATTCAAGTATGCTTTGTAGATCTAGAAAGTCCAAGAAATCCAGACAATCCAAATTTTACTTGGCGGCTTGCTGTTCTTGAGCAAGTTTATCCAGAAGAAACTACTAAAAATAATATTGCATTTGCAAGTGTTTGTATTGACATTATTTGCAATGCTAAATATGAATTACAGCAAAAATATGTTGTTCATAAAATGAATTTAGCTCTTAAAAGAATAGAATTAGATAAATTGGAGATTGAGATTGAATGTGAAGGAAACGAAGCTAATTATATTGAAGAGGAGAAAGAATAAATATGTCTAACATTAAAGGTATCTGCTAGCATTAGCGTTATATATCTAATTATGTATATATGTATATCGTACAGTACATATATGTACGCACGCACATACAAATAGATCGCTTATTATCGCTTATCTAGATTAAAATTCGTGTCTTTTAATTTTTTTTTTTTTAATATAAACCCCTACTATGGGGACACTGGAGTCTTTTAATTTTTTAACAACTTAACACTCATGAGATTGAAGACTTGTAAGTCTTAAAAGATTTAAAACACTTTAATATTTTAAAGACTTAAACTACTTTAAAACTCTAATACTTAAATACTTTTAATACCCATCGCTCTTAAAAGATCTGTAATACTGGGATGTTAGATTAAACAGAGTAGTATGGCATTTCTTTTGTTGTCAAAATTATTTAATCTTGATATAAATTAGGATTACTATTGCTATTTTGTTTTAACTTAACTCTCTTTTTTTATTATATAACATTCAACTAATTTATGTTTATTTTAAAGTCTTTTCTTCTACTTATACATAGATCTAGCTTTACTGGGTTGGAATTGAGCATCTTTCGGTTCGCTCTTTCTTTTTTTTCTACCTATACATAACCAGGTTGGAATTGAGCATCTTTCAGTTCACTCTTTTTTTTTTTTCTACCTATACATAGAACTAGCTTTGCCGGGTTGGAATTGAACGTCTTTCGGTTCGGCTCTTTCTTTTTTTTTATCTATATATATAACTAGCTTTACCGGGTTGAAATTGAGCGTCTTTTGGTTCGGCTCTTTCTTTTTTCTTTCTATACATATAACTAGCTTTACCAGGTTGGAATTGAGCGTCTTTCGGTTTGGCTCTTTCTTTTTTTCTACCTATATATAACCAGGTTGGAATTGAGTGTCTTTCGGTTCGCTCTTTCTTTTTTTTCTACCTATACATAGAACTAGCTTTGCTGGGTTGGAATTGAATGTTTTTCAGTTCGGCTCTTTCTTTTTTTCTACCTATACATATAACTAGCTTTACTGGGTTGGAATTAAGTGTCTTTCGGTTTGGCTCTTTCTTTTTTTCTATCTATATATATAACTAGCTTTATCGGGTTAGAATTGAGCATCTTTCAGTTTGGCTCTTTCTTTTTTTCTACCTATACATAACCGGGTTGGAATTGAGCATCTTTTGGTTCGCTCTTTCTTTTTTTTCTACCTATACATAGAACTAGCTTTGCCGGGTTAGAATTGAACGTCTTTCAGTTCGGCTCTTTCTTTTTTTTTACCTATACATAAAACTAGCTTTACCAGGTTGGAATTGAGTGTTTTTCGGTTCAGCTCTTTCTTTTTTTCTACCTATACATATAACTAGCTTTACTGGGTTGGAATTGAGCGTCTTTCAGTTAGGCTCTTTCTTTTTTTCTACCTATATATATAACTAGCTTTACCGGGTTGGAATTGAGCGTCTTTCAGTTCGCTCTTTCTTTTTTTTTTTACCTATACATAACCAGGTTAGAATTGAGCGTCTTTCGGTTCGCATTTTCTTTTTTTTCTATCTATATATAGAACTAGCTTTGCCAGGTTGGAATTGAACATCTTTTGGTTCAGCTCTTTCTTTTTTTCTACCTATACATATAACTAGCTTTGCCGGGTTGGAATTGAACATCTTTCAGTTCGGCTCTTTCTTTTTTTCTACCTATACATATAACTGGCTTTACCAGGTTGGAATTGAGCATCTTTCGGTTCGGCTTTTTCTTTTTTCTACCTATATATAGAACTAGCTTTACCGGGTTGGAATTGAGCGTTTTTCGGTTTGCTCTTTCTTTTTTTCTACCTATACATATAACTAGCTTTGCTGGGTTGGAATTGAACGTCTTTCGGTTCAGCTCTTTCTTTTTTTCTACCTATACATATAACTAGCTTTACCAGGTTGGAATTGAGCGTCTTTCAGTTCGATCTTTCTTTTTCTTCTACCTATATATAGAACTAGCTTTACCAGATTGGAATTGAGTGTCTTTCGGTTCACTCTTTCTTTTTTTTCTACCTATACATAGATCTAGCTTTGCCGGGTTGGAATTGAACAAGTTAATCTTTTGGTTCTTTCTTACCTTGTTATCATGAGGGGCTTCTACCACGTATATAGACTTTGCCAGATTGGAATTTAATAGGCTTGTCTTTCGGTTCTTTTTTTCTTCTATCATGTATATAGTTTTGGCTTTTCCGGGTTGGAACTAATCTTTCAGTTTTTTCTTTCTTCTATTGTGTTTATAGATTTAGCTTTGCCGGTTGGAATTTAATAGGCTTGTCTTTCGGTTTTTTCTTTCTTCAACTGTGTATGTTGATTTAGCTTTGCCGGGTTGGAATTGCACAAGCTAATCTTTCAGTTCTTTCTTTCTTACTTCTACCACGAATATAGACTTTGCCAGGTTAGAATTTAATTGGCTTGTCTTTTGGTTTTTTCTTTCTTCAACTGTGTACATTGATTTAGCTTTGCCGGGTTGGAATTGAACAAGCTAATCTTTCGGTTCTTTCTTACATCTACCACGAATATAGACTTTGCCAGGTTGGAATTTAATATGCTTGTCTTTCGATTATTTCTTTTTTTCTACTGTGTACATTGATTTAGCTTTGCCGGGTTGGAATTGCACAAACTAGTCTTTTGATTTTATTGTTTTTTTTTTATACTTTACATAGGTTTTAGTATTATCGGGTTTGGCTGTTTATGCAAATTTAATTTATCGCTTCATTGATCCTTATCAATCAAATTTATATTGATATTATCTATTATTTTATTGGCAAAATTATATTAATTTAATATAATATATATACTATATATAATAATATATATAATACGGTTATTATAATAAACAAATTCAAATTCTTATTATTTTATCGTCTACAGTAGTATTAATATTAAACTTGCTATTTTATCGTTCATAATAATACTAATTTAATGTTTAAGTTAATACTATTTTAGTATTAATATTAAATTCTTGCTATTTTATCGTCCAAAATAATACTAATTTAGTATTCAAGTTTAATGCTATCTTAACGTAGAGAGCGATGAATTCAAAGATCTTTCGTTAAAATATTTAATGGCATAATAATGTCAAAAAACATTTGCTGATGTAAGTATAGTAAACCAGAATTTTTTACAGTAAATCACTATAGAAAACACGTTCATTCCAATATAAAACTAATATATCCATATCTAAATCACTTATATTACCATAGCGAGTAAGTACAGTAAACCAGAATTTTTTACAGTAAACCACTATATAAAACACTACAAAACTAACATAACCATATCTAAATCACTTGTATCACCACAATAGTTAGTAAGTACAGTAAACCAGAATTTTTACAGTAAATCACTATAGAAAACACGTTAATTCCAATACAAAACTAACGTAACCATATCTAAATCACTTGTATCACCATAGCGAGTAAGTCAGAATTTTTACAGTAAATCACTATAGAAAACACGTTCATTCCAATACAAAACTAACGTAACCATATCTAAATCACTTGTATCACCACAATAGTCGGTAAGAATTTTTTATAGTAATCACTCTAGAAAACACGTTCATTCCAATACAAACCTAACATTAACCATATCTAAATCACTTGTATCACCACAATAGTTTGTAAGAAATTTTTTACAACAAATCACTATAGAAACATGTTCATTCCAATACATATCTAAATCACTGTATCACCATAGAAAGTAAGTACAGTAAACCAGAATTTTTAACAGTAAATCACTATAGAAACACGATAATTCCAATACAAAACTAACATAACCATATCTAAATCACTTGTATCACCATAGCTAGTAAGTACAGTAAACCAGGATTTTTACAGTAAATCACTATAGAAAACACGTTCATTCCAATACAAAACTAACATAACCATATTAAAATCACCTGTATTATCACAATAGTCTGTAAGAATTTTTTACAGTAATTACTATAGAGAACACGATCATTCCAATACAAAACTAACATGACCATATCTAAATCACTTGTATCACCATAGAGGTTAAGTACAGTAAACCAGAATTTTTTACAGTAAACCACTATATTAAACACGATCATCCCAATACAAAACCAAAATAACCATATCTAAATCACTTGTATTACCTTAGCTTGTAAGTACAGTAAACCAGAATTTTTACAGTAAATCGTTCCAATACAAAACTAACATATCCATATCTAAATCACTTGTATCACCACAATAGTTAGTAAGTACAGTAAACCAGAATTTTTTACATTAAATCACTATAGAAAACACGTTCATTCCAATACAAAACTAACATAACCATATCTAAATCACTTGTATCACCACAATAGT